CTGTGTGGCCTGACTTTACCAGAATGCTGCCGAGCCATTACGTGATTTCCTGGAAGACTCAGAGCTTATGCTGTGGCCTCTGAAATGACCTGTATGTTCATTTTCTCTCTCAGCACTTGCAGCTCTCCTCTGATTTATCGTCCCTTGTGCTGTGCAAGGTCAGCTTTGTTCTATGTTGAGCACGTGCACTGGGAGGAAGGAGTGGCCATAAACATGGCTAAACCTTTGCTAAGCTGTGCCTGGTGTGGCAAGAGGAGCGAACTGAGGAGAGACGCTGGCAGAACTACCCTTCAGTTGAACACCGATGGGGATGGTGCGTGCTGCTTCCTGACAAACTCCCTTGGAGCAGAGAAGTAGGACTGGGCACTGAAAGGGAGTTCTCAAAAACACAACCCCTTTGCACAAGTCCTTCCTCTCCCTCCACCTCTCCCCACCCACAGAAGAAATTTCCTGCAGTCATTGCCCCACCAACAATAGACATGTTATCAAGGGAAGATGTAAAGCCAGTGGGTTGGAAGAAAGACATGTCCCACCAGGAGCACTCACCCTTTTTCACAGCTTCCTTTTCACGTGAGGCAAGCAATGCCTTCCGCTTGTCTTGCTTCCCTGCCAGGGCGAAGGCGTATGCCATCAGTGCCTTGGTGTACACATGGTTTTCTTTCTCATTTGCTGCTGTCTCCAGGCAGAAGAGAGCGTTACGGACCACTGAGTGCTGGGAAGACATAACCATTGATTAGAAGGGTAGGGAGAAATGAGGTTTTTGCCTTGCTAATGACAGACTGTTCTACTGAACTTTGAGGAGGGGTCTGCCATCATGAGGTCTAGGAACAAGTAGGGTACAATGTGTTCCAGAAATGCTAAAAGTGAGAGCACATATCACAGTGCTCAACAACCAAGTCCTTTTTCCAATCTGGAGCAAATTCTGGGCAGTATTGTGTCATTATACACTGAGATAACTGAACTGACTCAAGTAGTGGTGCAGCCACATACGGTTACAGGCAGAGGAATCTCCAGCAATGCGATAGTGATGTAGGCCGTCAGTGAGACCTCGTTGTCCACTCCACCCTGCAGAGAAACACAAAGGTAGAACGCTGACCCCACCTAGCTTCTTATCTTCAGTCTTTTCTCCCATTCCTGTGGGAATAGTTCATTTGGCAGTATAGACCCTCAGCTTACCTCCTCCCCCTTGCAGCTGACATGGAGGTATCAACACCACTTATAAAGTGCAGGCTAGCCTTCATTCTACTTCCTATTGTGGTGATCATACGGAATGGCCTTTGGATCCCTAATTCTTGCCATTGACATGGGAATTTCCTATCTGCTTGTGTGCTCAAGAAGCTCAGCTGGACCCATCTAACTCATGGTCAAGTTCTAGACTCACAAAAAAACAACCAGGCAGATGTGTTACCTTCATGGCGTTGTTCAGGAGTGTCCCAGAACTGCGGAAACAGCCATTCTCCTTCTGTTTGTAGGAAAGCCAGACCAAAGCATCCTGGATGTGCTTCTCATCTATGAAGATGTGAGGCCGGGCCTGGGCAAAGGACTTGAGCACAAAGGCTGTGAGCCTGTAAGGGAGAAAGAGCAGTGGAAGGGCCTGAGCAGGCCTGTTGTCCATCTCAGGTGACAGGGCCCACGTGCACATCATCTGTCTGGAGAAAAGCAAGAAGCCCTGGGGAACTGTAGGCCAGTTAGTCAGAACACATGTATATTATATCTTCACCTCAAGAAATCTGGCTCATAAAACCCTGTGATCCTTTTGTGTTGAGGCTACAGTTTGTTGATCTGTATCTAAACAAATCTCTTTGGAAAAAGTAGGGAATCACATGCCAATGAGCTTAACATCTGTATAACAGTAATATTCAAAATGACAGAGAAGAATAATTAAATCCCTGCTAGCTCATGGTCTGCTGGCAGGACTCTTGCAGTAGAAATCCCTGCTTCGTGGGTTTCCCAGAACTCCCCAGGGTTTTAAAGTGAAGAAGAACATGGTAGAAGAGTGTTTGCTAGAGTTGTTACAAGCAGATATGGAGAGGAAGCAGGCATGTGGTGAGAAGACAATTTGCTGTCAAGACCCAAATACTGTTTCAGAAACTAAAAGCAAACCAACAGTGATGAAATCATCCATTCTTGCCCTTACCTAAAATTGAAAATGCATCGCAGTGATGGGCTGGAGCAACTCAAAACTTTGCAGTAAGCCAAACTGGCAACACACATGCTCCTCCAGGCTCTCTTTGCTTAGTAACACGCAAACACTCTTGAAAAAAAAACCATACAGGACTGCTCTTGGATTATCATCCTTTCCACTTATATGGAAACACCTTTCCCAGCAGCCTTCTCAGCAGATGCTAGTCTGGAAGCACTGCCACTGCAACTCTTCAGCCTTCCTCAATCAGGATGTGAAATCCCTGTTCCCTTCTTCCCCAATTTTTCTCCATTTCCTTCTTGTCTGTCATGGTCCTCAGAGCTCCTGGTGGGATAATGTGCTTCAGCTACATAACTGGCTGATGCAGCCTATTTCATTAAGTAGGATGCAGCACAGGGACCACACCAGCTCTGGAAATCTTGCTGGTCTACAACAGCATTTCCACTTGTCATGCAGCATTTATTACAAGTGTTTAGGTGAGAAAAAGTAGCATACAGAGGAGGCATAGGTGACATTGAAATCTCACCAGGTGTTCCCCGGTTGGCCATAACGTGGTCCAAAGGTACTGTAAGACCCATCTGGGTGCTTGTAGTTCAGCTGCCTCTGATAACCTACAACGGAGAGTTAAAGCAGGATTCAGATGCCAGAGAAAGTCTGCTGAGGGATGGGGGAACAGAAAAACAGCTGTATCAGCAAAGGCAAAGGAGAGAGGAGTAGGTCAGTCCTATCCTAGCCAACAAGAAGTACTGGTACATCCCCACCTCCCTGCACTGCTTATACTGCATGAGGAGAAGCAACACCTGCCTTTCTTCAGAAGGAAGGCAGGATGCATTAATGACAGTGGAGAAGTCACTGTAGCAGGTCACCTGACAACTGTGCACTGCATTGAAACCCAGTTAGGGAGCAGAGAAAAGTGGGTGCAATGATCAGATACCCTAACACTTAAGCAACAGAAAACAATAATGGAAACAGCAGTGAAGGGTCTTCTAAGGCATACAGCAGAGACCATCTGTGCATGAGAGAAGCTCTCTTTCCACATCTGGCCAATGTTTGACAGAGCCACTCCAGGGACGATCTGGAAAAAAGCCAAAGCAGAAGCAAAAGCCGCGTCCCAGCTCACCGCTCACTAAGTAGCCAATGGCCTTGGATTTGTCCTCCTCACTCAGCTGCCCTGTCTTGTTCAGATAGTCCAGGACATAGATGTTGGGTGCAAACAGGACCATGTTCTGCTCCCCACAGCCGAATGGCATCTGGAGGAGCTGATGCAGGTTCTGCATGGCAGTGCCCATAATGTCACCTGGGGAACAGGAGATACCAGATTAACAAAACTTAGGGCTGGCTGTCAGAATCAGAAGGCGCTACTGAATGAGAGAAGCAGGAGATGACAGAGAAGAACAAAAGAAAATCTGGATTGGTAAAGATCCTGGGATGAAACACAGAATAGCAGAGGAAAAGAGGGAAATGAGAGAAAAGTTAGGGCACTGGCAGAGAACCCTGAACAAAAGCACATGCAGGAAGGGGAAAAGAAAGAACACAACTGGAAGGGAAAATGCTCGAGACAGATAGGATGAAAGGCAGGAGTAAGGTGTGCTGGAAACCAAGAGAAAAAGCTGTGAGGTAGGAGGCCAATACAGAGGGGCAGAAACAGCACATGGTTCTTTCTCCCAGGCTGTTCACTCACCCAGCACTGAGAAATATGCTCTGCCTGAGTCCTGTACCACATTTGAGGGAAGCAACAGGGAAAACTTCTCTTTCACAGTTACTCCTGAGAGAGAAACAAGACCCAAACAGCTTCAGTGTAGTCCCAAGAAATGGCTAATGGAAGAGGAGGGTCCTCATTGAAACAACAGGAACGCTTCCTATTAGAAATGCCCTGACTTCAACCACTTCGTTTTTCCCTGGCTATAAGGCAATCTCTGCATGAAAACACCCCCAGCCACTGTTAGGTACTGTAGATCACATCTCTACAGCTTTTTCCTCAGCACACTAGAAAACAGGAAACAGCACTTGTAACTCCAATGCCAGCACGCACTAGAACAGGGATGCAGTCATGCAGTATCTGGCCTAGCTCATATCCTAATGCTTAGGCAGGATGGTCTACTCTCTAGGGCTTTCTTCTGTCTTAGGTTTCAGGCTCCCAGCTGATGGGGCATGTTTTGATTACCTAAAAATAACAGCCTATCTGGACTATGGTAGGGGCAGCACTATCTTCCTCCTCCAGCCATGTCCCACCCATCAAACCACACAGGAACAAATGGACAGAGTGAAGAGAGACGGCTTTACCTTTTACACAGAGCACAGAGTTCTGGGCTGTTTCCTTCTCAACTCCTTCAGGCTTGGGTGGGATGAAGGAAAACAAGAGAGGTGAGAAGTTAGTGAGACAGGAAGTACAGACAGTCAGAGGAATCCTTAACAAGGACAGAAGAATATGTGAAAAGTGAGTGAACTGGAGAGGGAAAGGCAGTCACAATCACTCCCTGAAATACAGAGCTCTGAAATAATAATTTAAGCAAGTACAAGAAACATGATCCTAAGTGATTGGCCTTGTAGGTGGAGGAAGGATCAGAAAAAGAAAGGGAGACACTGCGGGATCATCACATGGACAACCTGCAACTATTGGGCGCAGCAAGAGACACTTAACATCCTTGTAACAAGAGGACTGCAGCATTACAGCAAGTGATTTTGTTAGCAAAGCTCACAGTTGCTCTAGAGGGCTGTCCTGAGGAGATGTCTGCAGTGCTATTTATCATAATGCTGCAGATGCTTTAGGGAAAAAAAAATGAGTCTCATGATAATAGAAAGGGAAGATGTTGTACACTGTAGTATCTGTGACAGTACTGATATTATACAACACAGTAGGCAAGCATCAGTTTTTTTTATAATACAGAGAAAAGCTAAGAACATAGAATCTACCTGCCAGGTTACCACACCCCGTATAATAAACTAGCATTTTCCTGTAAAGGATATGCAATACTGTCACATAGTATTTCCTTCTATACCACATAGCACCAGCTACTCATCTTGAGACAGGAAATGGATGAGCTGTAAAATTTTAGTACATTTTTGTGGATTTCTTTTGAGGGGACTTCTCTACAGGCACTGAATTCCCATAGGTACTTGTGAATCCCCCACCTTCATCCTGGTGCTAGGCTATGGTACCAAACCAGAACTGCATAACACTCAGCTTAAGAGGCCGTTTGATTGGCACTCAACTAGCATACAGGCAGTATGTACGTGCTGACTGGAAAACCTGCTGGGGCTGTCTCAAAAGGAGGAGAGGAGCTGTGAAGAGGGTGTATTGAAATAGGAGGTCACAGATAGGAGATAAAGGGAAGGATGGATTGGAGTAGGACTCCTGCTACAGTAGAGGACAGGGGAATTTTAGACTACTGGGAGACACTGTGTTATTGAGCTATATTGTGAAACTGTGGTCTTTATGCAGCCCTGCCAAAGTATAAAGATGATGTAAGACCATCATATCGCCACGCTGCATAGTGATCTCATGGAATCATAGGCCAGCTCAGGTTGGAAGGGACCTTGAAAGATCATCTGGTCCAACCTTTCATGGGAAAGGGAGCCTAAATGAGATTGTCTAGCACCTGTCCAATTGCATCACAGTGTACGCTCTAGCCTGTGGGAAAGCTCAGTCCTCCCCTTCCCACAGCCCACATACCTCCACCAGCAGTTGTCTGATGACCGTGTCCTTCCGCCCTTTCTCAGGGGTCTCCACAATGGTGTTCCCACAGGGCTGCTGGTTCTGTAGCGCCTCAGTGCTCACCGAGAACTCCACCTGCCCTGGAGGAAACAGGAGTCAGCCAGCCCTGCTGGGCAGTGCCAGGCAATGGGAGTCACTGCCACTTCCAGGAGTTTCAACTCACAGGCCCATGGATAGGGATTTTCTATCACACCTGGTCCCTGCTTTTTTCCACCAAGAACATAGCTATCTATGTCAGAAGCCATCTTGGAGCAGAGCTGCACTGCAATTGAAAGGTGACTCTATTTTGGTGACTGTTTTCCAGAACCTAGGACACCACAGTGGTGGGACTCACCAGCCCCACTGCTGTTTGGCACACTGGTACCCCACATGCACACCACAGCTGCTACCACAGTACGTAACAACAGTGAAAACACAGTATGAAAATCCCATGGGGCAATCATCCAGTTTCTGGGAGGGATGGAGCTGACAGAGCATCCGTGCTGGCCAGCAACGTCTCAGGCTTCAGAAGGTGTTGTCCAAGGGCTGTAAGGCTTGATGGAGTTGCATGTGGTGCCAGACATGGGCGTGGACGCTATTGAGTCCACAAACATTTGCCTTTCTCAGAAACTGTGTTGCTCTAACACCCCATACAGAACAGGGGGAAGAGCACAGAGAAACCCTCCCTGCAGTTTTCAGCACCCTGAGACCTTTACCTAGAGATTTGGGAGTCACCAGCCAAGCCACAGTTTTCCTCCCGTTCTCGCAGAGACAATGAGATTCTTCCTCCTTTTGCACCGGAGTAGCCAGGAAATGAGTAGACTGAGCCAGAGTCACACTGACCTGCCAGTTGTAGAGAGAGCCACAATCAGTGAAGGGTGATCATGAGAGACAGGGAGGCAGGAAGCCATAGCAATAGCTATTTCTTCAGTAGCAAAGGAGCAGAGAGCTGGCATTGTGGGTTCTGCGTTTGGAGTATATAAGAGGAATAACATAAGAACTTCAGGGATGAAGGGTCTAGGGCTACTCAGAGGTAAGAAAGCTAGGTGAAGGCAAGAGGTGCACAAGAAGGTACACAGAAAGACTTAAACCTTCCTTACCCTGATGCAGGTGGTCAGGTAGTTGAAAACGGTGGCTTTCAGCGTGAAAGACTCACCACGCACTACAGAGTAGGGCATGGTAAGCTCTACAAAGAAGGGCTGGAAGGCTCTGAGGGACACTGTCGGGGACAGGCCAAAGCCCGTGTCTGCCGAAGTGCAGAACGCATTAGCTTTCCACTCGGTGATGGTGTCAGGGATGGTCACATCTAGATCAGCGTTTCCCTCAGAGCTGGCGAAGCACAGACAGAAAGGACAGAGGGATGACTTTTATAGCATTTTGGTGACTATCTGTACCCCTTGCAGACTACTGAACAGTACTGCCTGTGTGAATGATGGGGCACAGTATGTTTGCTACTGTAGAGCCACCCCACATCTTCCAGACCTATGACCACTCCTTGGACAAACGTAACCACAGCTGAAGGTAATTCCATCTCAGAAGATTGCCAAGTGATCTCTGCAAACAATGAAGGACTTTTTAACATTGAAAAGGCTTGGCAAACGTGGGGATTCATGTTTTTGCCTTATAAAACCAGTTTTATTAAAAAGGGAGGAACTAGCCCAAGCTGCTCACCTTATAGATACTAAACTCCAAATCCAAGTTTCTGGGAAATACTTTCGGACTGTCTCCGTCAGCTCTTCAGGTGTGCTTAACTTGTCATAAAATCTATTTGCCTGAGGGCCTGAATATGAAGACATGGAAAAGAAATCAACTACTGATAATTCCAAACAAGCAAGATCTACATCAGCACCATGCTTAGGTCTGAGAAAGTGGCAATCTGTGTGGCAACCAGAAGCTATGCTGGCAGCAGATATTTGCTGTGGCTGTAGTAAGCACTGATACCAACAGCAGTGAAGTTTCAGGGTCAGGGCTTATTAGCAAAAGCTATCCTTCCAGTGTTTCCCACTGGTCTCCAGCAAACCTCAAAGTTTGTGGGACAGCACTTCACAAGGTTAAATCAAGGATGTTAGAGCAAAGACCTATTTATGACCTTCTGTGCAAGCAGCCTTTTCCCTTTTGGGTATAATCTTAATGTTACATCCTTCTCCATTCTATCAGGCCAGCTAGTAATGGAACATCCCACTGTTGCTGTGTTTTTTGTAGGGTCATTGTGACTCAGAAAACCACCTCCCTGCCAAATCTATGGCCTCCTCAAGAACTAGGCTGAAGATGCTCAAACTGAAAACATGCAGTTGGAATTTGGGAGGGGTAAAAATAGACTTTTTGACTAAAACAAAATTTTCACATGTAAAAATTATTCCCCTCAGAATTTTCTGAGTTTGGGACAAAATTTGGTAAAAAAATAAGCTTTTATTGAAACAAAGATGGGGTGGGTGGGACTTGGTTTGCTTGGCTTTTACAAACGGAAAGAGAAATCCACCCAAACAGATAAATAAGAAAAGTTATTAACTAAATTCTAGGTTTGGTCATCTTTACTTTGGCTGAATTCATTTCTACGTTTAGATAAAAATTGTATAGCAAGTATCCATACTATCTGTGCAACGGGCACCTCCAGAGTCTGAGGTCTCAGGGCATCAGTGAAAGATCAGAGCTGTATCACATAGCTCCTAGCAAGAGTGACAGGTAGCTTGCTTGTATTTGTCTATCTAGCTTGCTGGTATTTCAGTCTTCTTACTGCTACCTATTTCAGTTTAAAATAATTAAAAAGCATCTATCCTGCACCTTAGCAACTTCTGTCAGAATTTGAAATTGTCTTAAAACTGGATATGTACAAAAGCACAGGTTCTTGTGCCAAGGGAAAACTCTCTCAATCAGTTATCCAGCTAGAATAACTTAGATTTTCTAGGATATTCCCTTCATATGAGGCTCTGGATGATGTTATGGCCAATTCTGTCGCCCAAACAGCTGCAGTGTGAGAGCTGAAATAGCCCTTAGAAATAGGGCGCGTCCATTTCAGACTGGACTTCTGCCACTTGCATCTTACCATTCTAAGCCTCCAAAGTCTACCAACTTGTCACTGAAAATTTTCTCATCCACTTCATCTGGTTTTGACCATACATAAAACTGGGTGCATGAATGAGGGCAGACTGAAGATGGTATTGGAGACCCGTTAAGTGATATCTAGGAAAAGACGTCTAGTGCAAAAGCCTAGTGAACAGAGCATTCAGCAGCAGAATAATATCCTCTGCTCTGTTAGAATCTTTGAAAACTACCTGGTTCTGCTGAATTCTAATGCAGAGTTATCAAAGCTTGTGTGTAGACCTTCACAACCCAGCAAACAAGATATGCCTCACACTCATGCAGAAGCTGACATCTGTGAACCCACTACTTCAGTACTACTTCCAAGGGTTAAATCCACAACCGCAGATCTTGTTGGAGTATTCACCCCAAAATACAGACAGGACCTCTGTTCAGAACAGAGGTGATAACAAGACCCAGTTCCTTTACCGCTTGTCCTCATTGCATGCATAGACACTCCCGGAATGACTGAAGGTGATGCAAAGTGGACTGCTGCAGGCATGGGATTCTCAGTGCTGCAATACCAAGGTTTCCTCACCTTGGTATTTGTGAAAACCTTTAAACCCAATTCCTATGAGAGAGAAATCCAACATGGTTTTTTGTTACTGAGTCCTGTTGAGGTTTACACAGCAGATCTGACACTGATTTTACTGCCTCAAAAGGAGAAGCTGTTGCTGTCTGTGGATAGGACCTTGAGATGAACGCCCCAACCCTGGGTCTGGGTGCCTGGGTAGTTCAGAGAAACCAAAGTATAGGACAAAGTATATCTGTCTCTAGGGCACTGGTTCCAATCCAACTCCAGCCTAGGGCTCAGGATGAGCCAGGGAGTAGATACAGAGCTTTCTCTCTGGAAGGAAATGTGTGTGGCTCCAATGCAGCTCAAGAACGTATTGATTTATTTGGGGTAACTGTAATGGTACGGGATTATTTACCTCCTGTTAGAACTTCATTTCAAGTCTCAGTATCTTAGTATTATCTCGGTTGGAAGGGACCTTTAACATCATCGAGTCCAACCATCAACCTAACACTGCCAAAACCACCAGTAAACCATGTCCCTAAGCACCACATCTACCCGTCTTTTAAATACCTCCAGGGATAGCGTTTCTGCCACTTCTCTGGGCAGCCTGTTCCAATGTTTGTTAATCCTTTCGGTGAAGAAATTTTTCCTATTACCCAATCTGACCCTCCCCTGGCATAACTTGAGGCCATTTTCTCTTGACCTATCGCAGCCTGAAAGCTTTTCCTTTAAGAAAACTTTGAGACTTATCCCTATTCCACCAAGTTGGGAGCAAAGCTGGCAAGACAGGTGAAGCTTATGACTCTCACTGAACTTGCCTCTGAGTAAAAATTAGTGTCAGATCATTCAGATTCACAAACCCCTTCCATTATGCCACCAAAGGCTTAGGCACTCTCAGTCCTTCTCCCACTCCACTCCCTAACCATGCAAGAGAGCTACACCTTTAGGATGCTGTATGTGTCCTCTTCGTTCATCTCCACTACTGGAGAATAGGTGATCCCATTCAGAACTATCTTCTTCAAGGGTATGCAGTTCTCCAGGGGCTCCTCCAAGAACAGGTCTGGACCATGGTGATAGTCACGCAGCTCCTTCACTGGCAGCAAGCTGTACACCTAGGCAAAAAGAGCCAGGGTATTTGGCATTTTCAGTGTCCACTGTCACAAAACACAACTGAGGGAGCTGGATGCAAGCACCACAGCAGTGACAACACCTGCACATACATCCACGTTGCCATGGTCCTCTCTGTGGTGGGAGCAATGGGAATTTGGGAGTCAAAAAAGAGATCCAAATTTGGAGATACTGCCTCTTTTGTTATGGACAGCATGTTATTCTGGTTATTATGGCTCAAATATACAAAAATTGACACTGGCCAGCCTATCTGCAGTCCTTTGTCTCTACTCAGGGATTGTTATTTGCTCCTTGGCATGAGGAGAATAAACCCTGACACTTCGAGATGCTACTCCAAGAAAATTAGTCCATGGTTGGAGAGAATAGCTGAAAATTTATCATCAAACTCACAACAGTGTTTGGTTCTGGCCAAGAGAAGCAGTTGCCTTAAAAGGTCTTCCTAATTGCCATCCCTACAGTCACACAAACCCCCTAAGAAACAGCTGCTGCGCAGTTCTTATCTTTTTGCCCACTGAAGGAAGACAAGAAACAGCACAGGGCAGCTTTCCTGTGTCAGCACTGACAAGAGTGTCTGTTCACTGTTTCTACCACAACACTGGGCTGTGCTTGCTCTGATCGGGCTCCAAGTTGTTCCACGGACTGAGTACTTACAGAGCTGGGTGACAGGTCAGCTTCTGGCTTCATGAGGAGAACGCTCTTGTCCACAGCACGGACAGCGCAGAGGGAGTTTGGGGAGGCTCTGAACAGCAAGTGAGCATCAGAAGAAGGCAGGCCTTCAGAAGGAGAGAAGCTCAAGTCCACCTGTAGCCACAGGAAAAGCTATGTCACAGATGCCCTATCCTTGCAGTCCTTTTCCCTCCAGTTGAGTGCATCAGTTCCAACCTTACAAAACCCACATACGCATGCACACGCCCCACACAGACACTCCCTCTGTGCTACTGCAGAGCTGGGCTTCCTTCCTGCAGTGCCAGAGGAATCAGCACTAACATTTCTTCGCAACTTCAAGCATCACAATTGCTTATAAAACTTCTAAGGCAGTTTTGGGTTTTATGGCCCCTGTGAATGAAAGGAGATAATCCCACACAGTGGCTAGATCTGTTCAGGCAGCTGCATGGTCTCGAACCAGGTCCAGTCTCTGTACTGCACCCACGTATTGTCTGTGGAGAGAAAACAAGCTTGCAAAGAACTTGCTTAGCAGATTCTTTGGTAACATGAGACGCAGTGATGCCCTGGAGCAATATTGCAGTATCTACTGGCTGGTAATGATTCTGAAGGACTGGCCTGTTGGCTGAGGCCCACCAAATTCGTGTGCCTTCCCCAAAACCTAACTCACAACTCCAACAACCCCCTACCAACTTCTGCCCTGCAAGTTCTTGCTAGCAGAAGTTGTTTTCATCACCACCTCACACAATTTTGTAATAAGATGGCTAACCAGCATAGATTTTCCCTCTCCTCAGCAGCACAAGCCCTCCCCTAATGTGCAGCCGTCAAAGCATCCTCAGATTAAACGTTCCCTGACAAAGCAGCATCAACTGCTAGTCTCCTTCATATGCCAACCAGACCACAGCATGCCTTCTGCTGACGCAGCCCACCTCTCCCAGGGTGCACTCATAATCTTGACACCGCAAAAGCAATATTCTTCAGGAAGTATCAGAACATGGGCTATAGCAAGTATGCTACTAGAAAAACTGTCCAGCAGAGATAGCCCAAAGTCTGTCCTGTCTGGACCGACAATAGCTTTGAATACAGGTGTTTTCAGAGAGGAAAGCAGTACCTAAGCATGTAAATCACTTGGCTTGCACCCAGACCTTAATGCAGTGCATAGAATTACCTTTAATATACGAACAGAATTCAGGTCACCAGGCTCCTACAGTGACACCAGAAGAACTCATTTAGCTTGGGTTTTAGCAGGACAAGGGACTGCCTTTTGCAGTGTCCTGTCTACTGTTCTGAAGTCCTGAAGGGCATTTTTGAGGTTCTTCTCTTAGGGCTGCTCATACATCAAACTGCTCTTCTGCATAAGGAATATGTACGGCTATAAAAGAATCCTGATCCACATGCTCCTAGAAAGAAGGCTTTATTTTTCTGCACTCCTTCAGTCTCATCGTTGCTATTGAAGCACCGCTGTGCATTGCTCAGCAGGTTCAGGCAAGGTTTATCTCCATTAACATATAACAGAAATTAAAAATGACGGGATGAGATGTAAGAGAGTTGAAGACCTGACAAATATTAGCTTCTCCCACTGGATTGGGACTGTGTGTGTTTTATTTTTGCTCTGGGACCATGCAAGCAGCCACCTCATTGCTAGAATGAGTTTGTGGGAAAAGGAATGAAACATATGGGTTGCAGTATGACATAGACATGTGGCCTCCCTTTTTCTTACACAGGACCATCTGTGAGATCAGTGACTGTGAGTAGTTGCTAAGAGGGGTTTTATCAGTGTAGTTGCTGCTGGCACCTTTTTTCCAACAGTTGGTCTCCTCCAAGCTAGGACAAACCAGTAAGCAGCGAAGCTACCTAGAAGAATTGACAGGTGTCTTGTCCAGTGTTAGTGAATCTAAATAAATGAGCTTAGCCAGGCTAAATCTAAATAAATGAGCTTGACCACGCTGCAGTCTGATGGCTGCTCCCTCAAGAAGTGGACCTTACCTTATTGCTGAAACACTTCTCTACATCAAACTTGGTTGAATCAGCGATCACCTCCCTGCTGGGGGCAGTGGTGTAGACAAGCACGTGGGCCACTGGAGCAATATCAGCTTGTACAGGCAGCTGTAGCGAGAAGGCCCCCTTGGCTAGTAAACAAAAGAAGAGCAAAATGTTAAGGTACAGGGAACCTGCTCTTGGATCAGCCAAAATTCTAGGTTTGACTTCATGCTGAACTTAATCTTCGCCATGATGAAATGCCAGGCCTCCAAGGAGGATGAGCTGGTGCTCACAGAGATGCATAAGTCTCCCTGTCTGACTGAAAGGCTTGTTTCAAGTCCTGTTTTCCAGTGCATAAGCATGCTGAATTTTGGCTCAGCTTCTAAAAACAGACCATCAGTCTGTGCCTCCTGGGAGCGTTGGAGCTGGAGAAATGCAGCATCAGAAAAAAGACAGCTGGCACAGCGGGTTAGAGCAAATCTGTGCGAAGCCTAAATAAAGGCAGAGAAAAGAAAATTCAAACTCTTCCCATATCTTAGGGAACATTGGAGATGGAGATCCCTGCATTTATATGGAAGCAGCCTGTACGCCTGCCAGGGCTGCCTAGCCTCCCAGGGCAGTGACAATTTGGCAGGGGAGAGGAACTCACCGCTTTCCTGGTTCAAATCCAGAATGTGGGTGCCTGCTTGCTTAATGATTCCCTTGGCCATCACCTGAATGGAAGGAGAAACCTGGTTGTGACTGAGGTTATGCATGAGCCAAACCTTGAAGAGGGGGAACCCGAGAGGACAGCAGCTGAGCTGTATGTCTGCTGCTCACACCCTGCTCAGCTGCTCTCAGCCTCTCTGTAACAGAATCCCAGTGCTCACCCAGGAGGCTTTGGGACATCCTTACTCTTCTGCTCCTCACCAAGACCCTTCTTTTTGTGGGGAAAGAACATATGAAGGATGATGGGAAAGTGTTTAAAGCCTATTGCCACAAAGCACAATTTCCACCTCCAGCCCCCCTACAATCACCAGGGACAACCTCACTGTATGGCAGGTGCAATCTTACCAGGTAGTAAAAGATGATTTTCTTCTGCTCTCCTACAGCCTCTGGAGTAAGAATATAGTGCACCTGGATCTCTGTGGAGGAGCCACAGCTTAGTGTCTCGGACTTGGGCTCAATTTTAAGGAAGCTATTACTAGGAGAGTAAAAGCGCTTTAGTTGGAGATAGCCTTCTTCATAATATGGAACAACCCAGGAACGGTCATAGCAGAAGGAGCGTACTTTATGAGTTGCCTGGAAAACGAGAAAATAGACACATAGCTTCTCAAACACAGGTGGCTGAACTGGAGCCAAAATTCATGGTCTAGTGTTAAAGGTTTGGTATTTTTTGTACTTAAGCAACAAGGTAGTCTACAAAAAAAACCCCAGGAGTTTGGAAGATGCAAGACAAGGTGGTGGTATCCTTAGCAAGTCATTGGAGATGATCTCACTCCCAGAGAAGCTGGAGTTTGTCTCAAACAATCTGAATCATATCAGTTGTTTGGTTACTGTCATCTCCCCTCAAGGGCTCTTTACCCTAATACCTTGCCCACTCTAATATCCTGTTAGTTTAAAGAGAAGAAAAGCTGATATTCATTTGTCTTTTCATTTTTGGTGCTGGAGAAGGGATAGTGCTGTTCAGTTCAGAGATTACTAAAGCTGAGATCAAGCTAAGGATGCTACAGAAAAGGAGGAAAAGTCTCCACCTGAGAATTCAAAAGCTAAATTGAATAGAGTGTAGGAGCTGACAGAGTCCAGGTCTTCTTCAAAACGAGAGCAAGGGGAAGATATTTCACATTTAGAATGGTGCTACTTCAGCATTTCATGTGCCTCAAGTGCCCTTATTTCCTTATCTTTCTCGCTACACTTGGGAATTTTTGCTATTTCTTTACCCTGCAAAATTCTGGAAACTTCAAGCACCTAGTGGCAACTTCTGGACAATTTTTAATGGTTTTAATCTGTGACAAGAGAATTGTAGGGAGAGACACAAATATAATTCAAGACAGTCTGCCCTATTTCAGGGTGAGATACTGCAAAATGTGCATTTCCACCACACTGATGTCAAGGTTGGCACAACCAACCAGGAACAAGAAGCTAAGTGCTTTTATATATATAGTAGAAACTTCAGGGGTACATCCCCTTCCAGCCCTGTGGGTCACTTCATCACCTCCTCTGCCCTCAGCACTCACCCTAACTCCAACAGAATCGAAGTACAACATGGAAGTGTTCAGGGCAAACCATGCCCTGCCCTCTTCATTCGTTGTGTAGTTGTTTTCCTGGCCTCCTTGTAAAGAAATCCTCACAATTTCATTGGCGATTGGAGCACCAGACCCATCTACCAGTTTCACCTGGAAGAACAAAAACAGTACGGTATAGAAGGAGAGGAATTCCTGTCACCTGAACAGACCGATAGACCACCAAGCTAATGATGTTGGGCTCATGTCAGACAAGGAAGCCCCCACTGCACTTTCCAAGTGCCTCATCTATCTCTGATTTCAGAGAGAGCTGCAAACTTTCTGAATCTTATTTCTTTGGCCCTTTCTTATCTCCACCTCTGGGTCAGAGGAGTGGATGTGGAAATCGACATGCACTCACACCCCTCAGGGCTCCTATTAAAGAGGAGACTGGAAAACCAGAATTCTACTTGACTGGAGAAGCAGAATCGCAAGGACAAGGGGGGTAAGCAGAATGAGGGCTGTGCTCTCAGCAGCTGTTCCCTGATTTGAGAGCCTGTAGAGGAGAGGAGGCCCACAGGGATTAGCAGCACTGAGGTCCACCATCTTTGCAGAGCAGGGCATGTATGGTCGAGGAGATGCAGCAGCATGATCGTTTGGCACTCATGGTATTCCATTCTCATAGTTTCCCTACCTGCCCAAAGAAGGGGATTCCAGGTTTGTAGTGGGAGTCTGAATGCTCAAAGGTGATTTTGCTAATGGTGGTTGTGATCTCAGAGAAGCTTGTTCCAGTCAACTCCACTCCTGCAGGAAGAAGCATGAAGAATTAATTTGCCTCTGTCTGACCAGAATTACTTTTACTCCAGGCTTCCTTTGCCTGACAAGCAATTTTGTTGATGCTTCTGGCCTCCAGGTAGGAAAAATGTAGGATCCCTGAAGAGCGAGAGTCTGCTTTTCTACCTCACCCCTGCTTGGCAGGCCCCTCTGCTGGTCTCTCCTGGGCTTATTGCATGGCTCTTCAATCCAGATGATTCATACCTGTCTCCTCCTCTTTAATCTTAGCCTCCACATGGAGCTTATTCTCATATCCACTTCTCTTGAGCTGGAATAACTTGGTCTTTACCACTTCAGAAATGCAACCATAGTTGTCTGCCTGTTGGAGGAAAACAAACAAGACCATTATAATCTCATCTATATAATGTTTATCCAACTTAACGAATCCGTCACTGTGCATTGCCCTGAACTGGAAGAGAAGCCTGTAAACTCACAGATCATTCCCTCTGTTGTTTTTACCAAAAGTGGAAAGGCACATAAATAACTTGGCAAGGAGCATTTTGAAGAACTTGCAACAATATCAGAGCAAAGAGTTTGCAACCTAGAAGATTTTTGCGCATGTGTGTATGTGAAGTTTGAAATTTCAAACACTTGATACAGAAGCATAGGGAATTACTCAAGTGTATTCCACATGGGAAATGTTTGTCAGGCATCAGGCACATTAGAACATAGCTGCTGACATATGCAAGGCATATGAGTGATACATAACCCAAACCCTGTGTATGTATAGAAGGAGGTTGACAGCTGGAACAGTATTTCCAAAGCTTGCCACTGCTCTTCAGCAGCTTCATGTACAAGACAGGTCTCCACAGAAAAGGAAAGAGATGCCTGGAACAGAAGTTAGCACTGCAGTGTTCATATTTTCTTTTAGCATGGATAACAACAGCCGTGGCAGAGGCAATTGTGGGAATTATACTATAGCAGACCCCAAGGACCATAAGCATGTCATCTGCTTGCTTTCTTGTCCTGGCGTATTTCCACCATTGCTATTACCCCAGTTGCTGTCAATTAAGCTAGCACTGTTGTACCTGTCCATGTCCCGAACACCATTCAGTTTTGCTCTTGTAGATTTTCCAGTCTGAAGAGTGAAAAAAGTGATTTTTTTTTTCTGTCTGTCTTAACTACTGCTGTTAAATCTATATTCCTTTCCCTCTTGCTCAAACTGCATCACCCCTCCCCTGGTTTCTGCTCCTTTCCTACTTCTAACATGAACTTCTGATCCCACACACTGTCTCTAGTGTAAGCCAATCCCAACTCTGCTCTCATCATTCCTGCCTTTTCTATCTCACTTCTCTCTTATACTCTCTACACTCCATTTGACCTTTTTGTTTGTTTGTTCCTTCCATCTGTTCCATCTCCATCAGCTTCTTGCTTTTATACACACCTTTCTTACTGCACAGGCCTTCCCCCTATTTTTACCTTTCACATTTCATTTTGCACCCAAATCTTTTCTCTTTCTTCAGGCTTCCTTAAAATACATGGAGTCTCTCCCCTCTCCTCACTCATGCTCATACATACTCTGTCAGAGCAAGCCTGTTTCATACAAGGCGTGCTTAGTAAACCGCACTTTCTCCTGTCACTCTACCTGCAAGAGTAACCGTGACTCACCTGTCCAGAGAACTCATCACACACTGCCTTAGCCTCTTCACCATAGCAGCTGGTGGCCGCATGTTCAAACTTCCGGCAGACACGGAAGCTCACGAGGCCAGGAACAGGCTTCCCAAATGTGTATCTACCAGCAGGGAGGATTGAAAGAAAAAGCCATTAGGAACATTTAGAGGGATGGAGGAAAATTACCAGCTCACCCCCAGTGGAGCCAGGACTCTTCCGTAGAGCTGCCTCCAGGATACAGCAGGGTCACCACAGGCAATAAAAAGCAGAAAGAAATTTGGTAACATTTTAGGATCAAGCTTGGCAACGGGGTCAGGAGCACTGAAATCTTATAGTCCTGATTGCATCCCTGGGAACAGCACACAAGTCTGCAGAAATCGTTTACCCTCATGGTGATTTAGTTCCCCTCACCTTGGAGAACACATTGCCAGTATCTATCCCACTGCCCAATTCTGATGGAACTAGTTTGTGCATGTATGCGCGCTGGGCTTTTGGCTCATTCTCCAGCCCAACCCGTGGCTCTCCCTGCAGGATGTGTGAGACATTGCTATGCAGAATTGAGTGAGGTGGTCCAAAGCAAAGAGGGCATCTGCATCACTGATGGTTTCCTCTCAGCAATGACAAGCAGAAGCCACAGTTAAAACATCATTCCCAGGTAAACTAAACTGAAGACCTGTTCACTAGCACTGTAGCTGGTCTGAAATCCTCTGATTGAAAAAGAACCCTCCCAAAAAACCAGAAGAACAATGTGTTTCTACATGTTACATACAAAGTGGCCCAAGCAATACTTGTTGCCTTTTGTCTAATGGTAGATGTAGTCTGTTTGGTCCTGGGACCCCAAAATGATTGAGAAATATAATAAAGTATCATATCTCAGTCTCCCAACTGGACTTTCAGCAGCAGCTGAAGGAAAACCTGAAACCAAGAAGGACTTGAAAGAATGACACTCACAGACCACAAACTGTCACCTGCAGCTTCTCATCAAGAATGGTGATCACCTTGGGCATTTTCACTGTTACTTCGAATTTTGGCAGCACTGCAGCAAAACCAAAGGAAGACGGTCTATGTGGTGGCAAATAACATAAGAATGAGACATGAAGGCTGCTCAAAGGCTATTCTTACAAATGACCTGAAACCCTTTTGCATCTAAATGGTCAGATTTTAGAGGCTTCTGTCACCTGCACATCCCACTGAAATCAGTGAAAACCACAGGCACTCAGCCAACCACTGTGCTGGCTAAGAAGACAGGATTATTATACCAGCTATTAAATTACAGCAGCTTCTTAGATAACACATGGGTTATCCGTCCCCCAGCAGTGGGATAGAGTAAACTAGAGAGTTAAGTCTCCCACAAACATACAGATCTGGGTCTACAGCCTGGTCTCTGCATTTCCAAGCATGTAGATCCTACCAATTTGCAAAATAGGAAGACGCCATTGCTTCCCCAGTGACTTAGCACAGGGTGACATCGCATCCAAACACAGCTGGATGGTGACTGTCTTGGGAGATCTAGGAGAAAGGAACAGTCTAGCAATTGAAAGAGGTGAGAGGACTTCCAGACTCATCTTCCAGGACTCATCTCTGCTGCATGAGCCAGATGATGTCAGACCATGTAACAAAGGCTGTAGCTGGCTTGCTGGGGTGGGAAGGTATGTTGGTTGCGACCATGCACAGGTCTGTATTGGGGTACCATTTTCTAGCAAGCAGACGGAACTGGCATAGGGGTGAGAGCACCAGAGAGAAGTTAAGGCACTAAGGCATAATGTGAGCTACAGGCTTAGGTTGTGGGGGAGGACAGGTGAGGTCTGAATTTACAGACAGCCCCAGCCTACACCAAAAGGTCAGGACTTTGGACCTCAGGCAGGGGAGACCCAGACTCATAGCATGACACTTAACGGCCGTGTAGCCAACTGGAGATGACTCTGTGGCCTTAAATCACCTCTGAAAGGAGGTGAGGGTCGTGGACAGACTGATTCAAGCACAGTTGTTCCTCCTGATGGAAGCCTTACTGAGGCGGGCAGTCAGAAGAGCTGCACTGTGTGTTTTGGGGCTTAGGGAGGAGTGGAGACAGGTGGTTCCAGTCCTTCAGTCTTCACTCCTCGTAAAGGGGTGATACTTGGGAGGGAGAGGACATGGAGACATTTTTTCCAGCCATGCTGGACATCCTGATCAGATCTACCACCCTGTTCAATTAAGCTTTCATGCCCCATGGGACTAGCTGTTAGGAACCTGAAACTGCAGTGACAGTTACCATACTCCTCCACAGAGAAAGGATGCCGAATTGTCTTCCCAGAGGCCTTCTGTGCCACCACTGTGTAGGTCCCTTGCATAGGTTCAGACGTGAGGTTGAAGAACAGCTGGATTAAACCCCCCTTTAACTCTGCCTTTGTCCACTGGTACAGACGGTTTTTCTTTGGGTCCTACAGATAATGAGACCACAAGGAGATTGTGAGAACAGTGGGAGCCTGCTATGAGAACTAAAAAGCACTAACAAAAGCAGTTAGGGGAGGCCCAGCCCCGGTGTTTCAGGATGCTGCAGGGCAGGATTGGGGGGCACTGGCAGAGTTGTGTGGGGAGCCCAGGGCTGCACAATAGAAGGAGCTGTAACCTGGGCCCAGAGTACATAGTTGCCACCATACGAGTTAAAGCTCTGTATATTCAAATTAATGTTATGGACCTGCTTAATAAATAAAATAGACAAGAATCATCTGGAGGCAACTGGTAGTCATGCTGCCAGGTTGAGGTGTGAGAGACATGAACGTGAATTGAATATTTGTACATACCTCAATATAGACCAGAGGGAACTAGAAAAAGAAGAAAGGAAACACCGTATTTAGAATACACATTTAGACAGAGAGCAAGCAACACAGTCCAACGGCCAGGGCTATGACCACATGTCGGGGAACTAGCTGATCAACCAATGGGATAAGAAAGTAACTACCTGGTGTGGTGCAACAGAGGATTTTGAGGTACACCAAGGGGGCAGGGGTGTGTGTGTGTGTGTGTGCAATCCTTTGTCTCAGGCAGAAAAGTCAGCTGAAATTACTGTGTACACTGTGATAATGGCAGATTTGCTCATGGCTGAGGTGTTTACACCAGGACCATTCATTTGCAGTTTGTCAAACCTTTCCAAGAATGCAGAAGGCAGTGTTGTGCAGAAATTTGAAGAACAGATCCTGTTAATAAGATCTGAGGTAACCCAGGAACTGCACAACTATCTCAGCGTACTGAGAGCTCTCCCCAAAAGACACTTCTTTCCTCCCTTTCCCCACATGGATGACATAAGGCCAAATAACTAGTAAAAAGGAAGCATCATACTTACCACCTCGTTCAGGGGACGGAAGTTGTTATCCAGAGAAACAATTCTGAACAGGACTGATGGAGAAAGGCAGACAGTGAGGTTCCACAGTGCAGTCACCAACCAGAAAACATCAATTGCAAAACCAAATGGTACAACAGAGAACAGAGCAATTCTCTTCTAAAGAAATTCTACGCACAAGAAAACTAAGGCATGCTAGGAGGTTACCCGTGTAACAAGTTACATGAATAAGAGCATGTTAAGAGCATATCCATGGCAGTGTGAACATCTTACTGATCGTGGGCATCAGAATCTCATTAATCAGGATCAAAGTTAAATTTTAAGTTGCCTTTGTCTACTTTGTAAGGATACACTTTTACATTTCAATTCACATGGGTCCTCTAATTTTGTTGTAACTAGACTGACTTCTTAGGAAGGATGGATGCAAGCAAATTATTTCAGCACTTGGCTGCAAGTTTGTGTTGGCTCTGGGTGGATAAAGAATTCAGTGTCTCTTTTAGGACACTGGCTCCTGTCCAGGCCAAGTTTAGGAGATCAATGGCCCAGAAGAAATAAATGGCGTATAGAGTTCTCTCTGTCGTTATTGAGCAAAATCAGCTGATGCTTTGAAAGCTATTTCATTACTTAGTCTGAATTTTGGCCCTGTTCTCTGTACAACAAATATCCAGTCCTTCTCTGATTTTAATGCAGACGCTACTGCATGGCACACAACAACAGAGCCTCCAGTGACAGACGGAGTGTGTGCAGGTGGCCCAAGTATGTGCATATATCTTAAGGTTCCCCAAATTGTTCCCTTATGGAGCACTAAAAACATAAGTCTTGGCCATGATATTGCTCTTTTGGCCCCCACTGAAAGTAGTCGCCATCTGGCCAGCACAGCCCCATGGTTTTAGTATGAATTTTTGCTTCAAACGCAAATCTCCACCCCTTCCCCAGTACCTGTCTGTCCGGGCTTGTAGATGGGTTTGTCTGTCTGGACGAAGACCAAGCTCTCAGAATTCTTGACCAGCACCGACTTGCGGCTCCTGAACTGCAGGGTCGCCCCTTTCACTGTCACAGTGATAAATGTGACGGGTGACGGGCTATTTGATTTTGGTAGCTGAAAAGTAAGAAGGCAACTATGTCACAGACCACCTTTAAAGGCTTCCTAAACTGAACTGGCCTTCATGAAATAAGAGATCTAATATAATCCTGATGGACCCAACACAGAGGTGAGGGACACTATAATCAGAACAAGAGACTGATCTTTGCTTGTCCCATATTCCTACTCATTCCTACTGCTGTACAGTGATTGTGCAAGTATTGTGCAGCAAAGGAACTCCCAGCTCTGCCACCCAATTTTAAGAAATTCTTACTGCCCCGACCAAAACCTTTCTGTTCTTTTCCTTTTGACGTTCACAGGGGCAATGGAATAATCCCCCTTCTCTTTCGGATAATGTCCCTAGTCCTTGCAGAACTTTTCCTTTTCCAAATCAGACACGCCAGTTCTCTATACATCTCTCTCCAAGTGACAAAATCATTCTTTAGCCTGTATCTGACAAACCCAGACACAGATGCCAACCTGTTCAGTGTCCTGAAGGTCAGTTCTTCAGCCTTCATGCCAAAGACATTAGCTGTGCTCTGAGCTAGATGACCAACTTTCCTGGTTGCCCATGACTTGTTATGGTCCCTGGAGCTATCAATTACACTAAGCTATGGATTTCCTGCTTCACTCTCTTTTTCAGACACAGGGAACCACAGCTGCATGTTCTCACATTAAATCAGTGTACTATATCCACAAGGCAAAAAGTATCTGAGGTCCAAAAGCTCTACCCCAATTTGAAGGCACTCAAGTGACAATCTGTGGCCGTTGGAGGATGATGTGGACAGCCATTTGAAGACACTGTTAACCAAACAGCCATCATCAGGAGTGTCAATACTAAAACCACTTCTTTCTCCTGGCCTCTCCTCCTCCTGGCCTAGATGGGGACTGGCTTTCCAGGATTCAGCGTTTCCCATTCAGGTAGCATGCTAAGGAGATTTTAGCAGTGAGAGGGTGCTGAGGGTGATACCTTTGGTGAATAGGGAAGGGAATATACCTACACAGTGTTACTCTGGTCATTACTATTCAGTGCCCTTGCAGTTTATCCCTGGCACAAGGGATGAGCCCCCACAAGGATGAGATACTCACAGAGAAAGGGATGCAGGTGAACACGTCCTTCTCCGACACTACGTCATCAATCAAGCTCCTGTTTTCCCCTTGATACTCGAGTGTGGTGCTCAGTGTCACAGACTCATTCAGGTGGGTCAGCTGCACACAGACTTTCTCAGAAGAATCAGTGTGTATCAGAAAGGGCAGTAGCACCATGTACTGCCTTAGGAAGAGAGGAGAAGGACAGCTCAGAGGGGCAGGAGCAGGTAACAGGGGACATACAGAAAGAGCAAATAAACCACCTGATGACTACAGCCTTCACTGTATGGAGACAGAAATGTGTTTTCTAGGAGTGTTACAAGATTTCCAGCCTGTCTGTAACAGCAGGCAAAAGTAGAGTGGCTGCTGTCAAAAGTAAGATACCACAGGAAATCCTCAATGTAAACACCTGGAAAGGATATCTTTTTCCAGGTTCTGGCACAACGGCAGCACTGCCTCCTGGGACACTGAATAACGCCAGTGGGGAAAAGTGAATTGTCACCTTTGCTAGACACTTAGTAGGATTCAGGAACCACACAAGTGCTGGTACTTGGTGAATAAACGCCACTGACTACACACTGCAAACCATCCCTAGCACTACTCTCATTCCTCGCAGAGACCCAGAACTGCCACAGCGTGGTGCCAGATCTTAGGCAAAAGCACTGGAGCAAATTTCAGTTTTCCAGGGAAGCACACCCCTCTGTCTCAGCCTGACCAGAGGGTCCCTGCCCGGCCCCACACAGCCTCCCTCCATCCCAGCAGAGCAACGTGCTGGTGGTGTCCCGGTGTTCAGAACAGCGTCTGGTCATCAAACCTGACCTGCCTAATGGCCACAGTGCTCCCCTTTGGGACTGGCCTCTGACAGGCACCTCCAGAGCAGCAAACAGGTGGGAGAAGAGCCCTCGACATCTTGGCAATAAGGCAGCACGTTGCCTTTAGTGGTAGGGGAGGCTCTGACACCTTTATGTCCATCAATTGGTCTGCGGGGAGAAAGCTCTGTCCCCTCAGGTCCTGGCCCTGCCGTTCGCTTGCCCTGTGTTTGGCAAAGGCGCTGCAGCACAGCCTTGCTTTGCTGGGGAGGAAAAGACATCACCAACAAGCCAAAGGAAAAAGTCTCTGGGATGTCAGGACCCCTCATACGCTGCTGCTGCTGCCGCCATACATGTACACACATGCACACAACCGCACTCCCTTCCCATACAAACAGGGCAAAAGAAGGGATGCAGCACAATACACCCTCACAGACCTGAACAGTCTCAGTCTTAAAGTGCCACATAACCCCGAAGGAGAAGGGAATTTTCATTCCATTGTCTGAGCTGAAAAATGTGAATTAAAAAATAAACCCCATTTCTGGTCATGCCAGATCTGTTATTTGTTCCTTTTTTCCTCATTATCAATCAAAAAACCACTCCCATCTCCTGGGCATTTCAACCTGGGAGTAGAATAGTCAACCCACAATGAAACCCTTCATTGCCTTTTCGAAAAAGTCTGTCTTTTAAGAAAAACTAAATGTGTAAACAGTTGTAAAAAGTTGCCTTTCAAAAGAACCATTTTTGTGCAGAAAAATGTGTTGAAATGCTGTCAGTTCTCTGAAGCTGCAGGAGATGTTCTCATAGACCTTCCCCTCTTTTTTCTGTTTTTTTCCCCTGAAGTTTTACTGACATCTCGGTTTCACAGACTGTTTTGGGTCCCCCTGAAGCACTAGGGTTGCTGTTTGTAGAAAACACTGTACCCAGCCCTGGTGTCTTTATTCCCGGGTAAAAGAAAGTAGGCAGAAGATAAGGGACAAACAGACACGGGAATACAACCCAGGTCTCCTGCCTGCCCAGAGACCCCCCTGCGTAGCTTACGGCTCTGTGGCGGGCGAGGTGTCTCCAGGAAGGAAGAAGAGGAGAAGGAGGAAGATGTTTGGTTTGATGAGCAGCCTGTCCTTCCCCATGGTGCAGAGCAGGACGTGATGAGTCAAGCAGACACCCAGCCTGGTCCGGTGCTGCTTGTGCTCGTGCTCCGCTCTCCGAGCCAACCCCTTTATAGTCTCCCCTGCAAACAGCCCAGGGGCTGGAGGAGATAAGGGCTGGGGGCCAGGGCCCCTCCGGAAATGGGGAGAGGCGGTCCGGAGGAGCTGGAACCAGCAGCTCTAAAACTGGGCAGAAGGCCAGGCGCTGGCGAGGAGAGGGAGGGGAGGGTGCCCAGCAGGCTGGACGGAGCTGTCTCTGTTTTGGGGCAGGGCAGCAGGCAATGCAGGAGGAAAGGTGGTAGCTAAAGAAAAGAAGGGCTGACAGCAGAGGACAAGGGGAAGGCCTCTGTTTCTGGCAGGACTCCCTCTACGGACATGGCCACAGCGCTGGTCACAGGGGCTGCTGGAGGAGCGGGAGCAGCTTGATTTCCTTCACAGGAAAATTAGCAGGAGGTTGAGCTAGGTTTTGGTAAACAAGAGTGGGTGTGCCTAACCACCGCTTACCAAGGCAGGATCTGAAAACAGGGAATTCAAACTCTGAAAACCTTTCCCCTCCACCCACCCTGCTCTCTCATGCTCTCCATTCCTGGTCCCACCAGGGCTAATGCCGGGAAAAGGGGCCAGAGAGTGCCTGGACAATCAAGTCGTCGAAGATAATCTGACCTTCACCCCCACAGAAACAGGGACAGTGACATGATGCAAGCTGCCAAAAGTTCAACCAATTAACAGTGTGTAACACATTAACCAGTTCCCCAGAGCAGCAGTTGCCCTCACACAGCAGAAGAGACATAGCCTGGGTCTTGCTTCCCCTCCACTGGTTCTTGTTCCACATCAAGTTATTGGCACATCTCAATCAAACTATTGCTATTTGATGGTTTCATTAGGTGAAAATCCACATAATGCACTGTGATGGGCAATGTTTTATCACAGAGGGCAATTTCTTTTTGACCATTGTCTTTACTGCAGTTACCCTGGTCTGCAGCAGGAGAATCAATAGCTTTGGTAATGATTACCCTTGCAAGTGGCAGTAGAACATGTGTCTCCCTTATAGTCCTAACCCAGACTCCAAAGAATAGAGATCTGTGTTGGAGGATGCAAAGCAAAATCTTTGAATTAAAAAGGGTGCGGGATAAAATGATTATCTGTCTGTCCTTCCCGCTCTTACTATCATCATCAGAAGTTTAGTTGGCTCAGGAACTTTGGAGTTAAGAAATCCCAGGAGCAATGAGATAAAAAACCTTCATTAGAGACCTCATTCTGCCCTGAAGTGACCTGCATGGGAAAGGAGTGCACATCCAATTTCCTTGGGGACTGCACAGAAGAAACACAGCCCAGGCTTGTGTCCCGCCTTCTCTATCTGATGCCTAAAGGTTGCTCTGCCTGCCCAAAAGAAAGGTAACCCAGGAAGATCTGCCTCACCCGCAGAGAAGAGAATTTGTGGTCAAAGCCTTTTTGAAGATGACACTTGACATTGGTTCGAACAGGTTGGGAGCCGGACTGACTGAACACAAACCTGACAGAAAAGAGGTGCAGAACTGCACACAGCAGAGGAAGCTGGGGCTGCCCTTCCGGCCAATAGCCAAACATCTCACACCGCTCACAAGCCAGCTCCCGATCATTAGGACCTTGGTCAAAAATGTGCCGTGCAGCAAAAACTGAAGAGAAATGTTTTCATTCAGTTGAGGGAGGCAAGATTTTAAAGGCTTGAGTATCCCAGTAGGTACCAATGAACATGCACAGGTACCGAACTGACTTTTAAAATCTGCCCTTAAACTGCTTGGCCTCCATCCCATTCCCAATAGCAACTTGGGCCCCAGCAGCCTAACTTCAAGGGTCTTTGCATGGCCCATGTGAGTCAGCTCGTAGGTGGTGGCACAGACAAGGCAGTGGCAATGCATTTTCCCTCTCTCTTTTCGGCCATTTCCATCTGCTGTGAGTGCAACCGAGAAGGCCAACAGGCTTTCTAGAGCTTTTTGGCTAGATTGGTTAACTCTAAGCTCCTCAAGAAAACTCCTGCAAGGTGTTGGCCTATCCATGAGGAGAGCGTGGTTTTGTATTAGTTCCTCGATTTCTTTCAGTGAATCTGAAGTTCTGTCATTTGGCATAGCTGAAAGGGACACGTGCCCCAGTTGTGCAAAACCCGCGTTAAGTATCCTGACTCTGCACCAAGAATCCTGCTGCATTCATTGATAGCATCACAGAAGTGCTGCTTGGAAGGGAGCTCTGGAAGTTATCTAGTGCATCCTTTCACTTAAAGCAGGACTGCTTCCAATGCCATCAGCCATGACTTTGTCAAGTCACATCTTGAAAACTTCCAAGTGTGGAGAACCTGCCATTTCTCTGGTGACCTGTGCCAGTATTGTACTAAATTCTGGTGAAGACATCTTTCCCCATGTTCAATCTGAACTCCTCAAGCTGCAGCTATATGTTATATCTTCTGCCCCTACCAGGAAAGGCCATGTTCCAACATCCTTGTAACCGCCTTTCAAGTGTTTGTAGACAGCTGTTTAATCACTCCAACCACCTCTTGGTCAGACTAAACAAGCCCAGCTCCCCCTGTCACTCCCTGTGGGTCTTATTCTCCATACTCTGCCTGGTTTGGTAGTCCTCCATTGGACCCTCTCCAGTTCCTCCGCATTCCTCTTGAACTGGGGGTCAGCAGAC